TGCATTTACACACTGTTTAATGCAGGACAGGAATGCATTTAACCTGCAGTTACAAATGCATTAATACTGTTTTGATATTTTAAACATAAAACGTTGAATAGGCCTACTGATATTTGAAATTATATATTTTTTTTAAAAATGAAAAGATACTTTAAATGTAAAATTAAAACTGCCAGTAGGTAGCAGCAAGTCACTGTTAATAAGTGAGTCATTGCGATTGAACCGAATCATTTAAACGGTTGATTCATTCAGGAACAACAAGTCCTCTGCTCAATGTGACATTGCTGCAGCCTGGAATTGAACTGCTGGTTTCGTCTGGTCAGAGGAGAACTGGCCACCCGACTGAGCCTGGTTTCTCCCAAGGTTTTTTCTCCATTCTGTCACCGATGGAGTTTCGGTTCCTTGCCGCTGTCGCCTCTGGCTTGCTTAGTTGGGGACACTTCATTTCCAGCGATATCGTCGACTTGATTGCACAGATACTATTTAAAGTATGATGACATCACTGAATTCAATGATGAACTGCCTTTAACTGAAAATCGAGTGTTTACTATTATCATTTTGCATTATTGACACAATATTTTCCTAATTAATGCTGTACATTTGCTTTAACACAATCTGTATTGTTAAAAGCACTATATAAATAAAGGTGACTTGACTTGACAAAACAGTGTCATGTTGCTCAGAGACGCAAATTGGAATTATATATGTTGGCGAAATAGAGCAAAAACAGTCAAAATTGTGTCTAAAACGCAAGTGTCTTAATATTAAATTCTTGTTTATTGAACTGCTGTATAAAATTAATAGCACATTTGTAATCATGCTGCTTTTTGGTGGGGAAAAAACGTCAGTCTTAGCGTGATACTGATTAACTATGTGAAATGATATAAATATATACATTTCTGCCCCCATATCTTGAATTTTGTTATCATTCTAAATGCATTTTAATAAACTGAACCATGCAGTGAAATAACGTGCACTGGTCTACTAATAAAAGTCCTTCCACTATAAACATACATAGGGAATTTAGAACAATATGAAATTATATAAATATATAAATTTCTGCCCTTTCGCGCGATACTGATTAACTATATGAAATGATATAAATTATGCATTTATGCCCCCATATCTTGAATTTTGTGATCATTCTAAATGCATTTTAATAAACTGAACCATGCAGTGAAATAACGTGCACTGGTCTACTACTTCCTATTGTCTTAAGCCGGGCTCACACTGTGCGATTTTTAAAAGTCCTTTAGGATTGTACTTGTCAGACTGTACGAACATGATGATCATGTCACACTGTGGGATCTCAGTTGTCAAATTAACTATATTTGCCTTTTGTCTTTTGGATAATTAGCAGTAAATTCGAGGCACAGGTAGCTTAGTCTTTTGTTCATCACCACTCACCTCCACACCTAGACAAACACAACTGGAAAGGGAGGAAGGGCTTCACTTCTGCGCTCTCTGCCTGTCTGTGATGTGATGTGCCGATCAATGAGTGCTACTGCTGTGCTGCGCGGAGACGCGGAGGGGTGAAAGGTATCGGAACTGGACAGTCTCAACATTTCCCGACCCGACCTGATATTTTGATTTTTTATTTGTTTGACAGGGAAAGCTGTGCGTAAACAGAAACACGCATATACGCATATATTCATTTATATATATATTTAAAAAAACTCTTCCCGAGGAAGAAAAAGGGCAGGTGCTCAAGCCCCCTTTTATGTCTATGTGTGCACGTGCCTGGATAAACGTGTGAAAAAATACCTAGTCGTTCTCCTATCGGACTTTTTAACAATCTTTATTCTCCTTCTACTGTTTTTAAACGGACAGATAACTTTTCTCGAAATGCCAGGTCTATTCGTTTTTAGAACCTGTGCCAGAAAAAGACACATTTGCTGTTGAAAACTGTTGAGGGATCTTGACCAAGCCTTTTCTAAACTACAAAGAACTGCAACATCTGTAGCCTACAGGAACATGCTCGAACCCGTCTGCTTATAATTGGGACTCACTCGGCAGGCTGTCAAAATGTTACCAGTCGACTTGTCTGAGTATAGGCAGAAGATATCTGGCTTCCATTAAATTGGTTCGTTTGGAGAGTTGCATTCTGTCTTTTAAGGAAGATAACAGATTCTTATTTTTTTCAAGGAAATTAGTTACATATCAGAATAGCCTGTTTATACACCTTCGCGCATAATTAAACGCAGAACTGTCAAACTTAAAGAGAAGCAATTAGCGGCCAAAAAGTTTCAAATTCTACAGATTCAGGCGGGAAGCCTGTCTTGGCAAGTAATTTCCAGTGTCTGTATAAGCTTTCATGACCAAACTGGATTCCACAAAGCCGCGAATGTTATTAAAAATCTAGTCATATTTATTTATTTATTTTTAACAGGAATCAAAACGAGCATGTGATGGATATAGGCTAAGTGCAGTGCGTTCTAAATCGTAGCCTACTGTTGTTTAGGTTTGACTAAACGTCTTAACAAAGAAACAAATCAGTAGACAGAAAGTCCAGCTTTGAAAGTTGTTAAATAATGTGATCTAGGGCCTTCACATTCCAAAGTCTGTAAGTCTATCAATCACAGTCTCGTTTTCACCCGTGTTAAAATCAACCTGATGTCCAACCTGACGACTGGTGATTTGAAAGTACCATGCTCTCCTGAGTCTATATTCTATTTATAGTTGTATATCCTTTTTTTTTTTTTGTCATTGAATAAACAATAATCAACATGTAGCTAGCTAATATTAGTATACATAACCAATAAGCCACTGGGAAAGCGTCCAACAGCTTGACATCTTACGCTATGTTTAGCCACTGGGTGGCAGAATGTCAAGAATTGTTCAATTCTGTGCGAATTTAGAAACCAGCACTCCTACAAAAAGAGACTTTTTGAATAAATGCTAGTGTTTTTCAATTATTTTAATTCTTCAATTAAATACATTTGTTATTTGTTATTAAGACCCTAAACTCTCTTAGAAACAAAATGAACAAAGGTGGTTTTATTAAATGCTTTGCTTATAGCATATACAGGCCAAGTTTAAAACAAAGAAAGAACATGCGTAAAACGTGTAAAAAATAGCACATCAGTAAAAAACATGACAGAAAAACGCACTACTGCGGATTACTGTCGTGTTCTTTAAACATTAGTTTGAATAGGCTGTACATCACCTTCTGAGTTGTGACTTTAAATTTGTCTTTTCACAATACACTTGAGTTTGGAGTGTTTGGGTGGCGTCTGAAGCGCTTTTGTCAGGCTGGTGCGGGATCTGGCTGTGTCCTCAGCACTCTGGACAGCGCCTGCACTTGGTCTCCACCGCTGCTTATAATCATACAGGCTGCCATAAAATATCAGTCAAGAAAAACATGAATGGAAGCGATATATTTCACTACTCTTGATTTACAGCTGTTTCCCCCGTCTAGCGATTTTCAGTTGCCTTTATAACCCCCAATGACGCGCGGCTCATTTGCACGATCTGACATCTTTATTCATAAATAGCCCCCATTCACATCTCTCTGACGTTCATCTACCCTCTGACGAAACCTGCTCCTATAAGATTCACAGTAAGTTTGGCTGACTCGGAAATGTGCTGGACTGCTCTTCTCCTGAGGCGATAGTTGGGCTCGTTTTTGCACTGTCGGTGGCAGCTGAGTGGCTGGCGGCTGATTCACAAAGGTGAGGCACTTTTATGATGTTGAATTATGGAATAGTTGCCATTTTTGCCCCACCTAAACCAGAAACATGAAATCCTCGGAATTGACCACGAAATGTTAAAAAAGTATGAAGTGACTGAAAGACTATAAATAGGCATTTATGATAATTTGAAATGAGTTGAATTCTTAATTCTGCGTCTTCTTTGTGTTTAGAAGCACAACAGACTGATTGATTGATTGATTTTTGTAACTCTCCCTTCTTTTCTTGCATGCCTGTTTAGGTCTCTTTTTCTTAGGTCTCAATGAATTTCGGTTCTTTAGAGATACAACGACTTTAGCAGAGAGAAGATGAACATCCATGTGGAGGGTTTGGTGGCCATTGTCATCTTCTACTTGCTGATCCTTATAGTGGGAATCTGGGCAGCATGGAAAAACAAGAATTCCGGCGTGGTGGAGGGAGTTGATCGCAGTGAGACCATTATGGTCGGCGGAAGGGATATTGGATTATTTGTCGGCGGATTTACCATGACTGGTGAGTTTCAGAGAGAACTAAATAAAAAAGCTTTTCACTTTATGCATATATGATATAACACGAATGGCGTTTTATTTTTACATCTTTAGAGATTTACTTATCTAACAAAAATATACTGTCTGTATAGGCTATATATATAAAAAATAAAATCATGATGAGATGTATCTTGATGTCTTTCTATAGCAAAGCAAAATAAATAATCATTGGACAAATAAACCTTGAATCGTTGTTTTAAAAAAGCAAACCTTTTTATAAATAATTTGAATAAATAAATAAATAAATAATAGACAAATTCGGAAATCTGTAGGCCTAAATTATATATAATACTACGTTATGTATTATGTTTAATTTTATTGCTGTATATTAACTGCAATTTCGCTGGGTCTATGTACTTTTTTAAACATTAAATGGTTCTGTTTGGTTTTATATATATGTTTCTTTCTTTCTTTCTTTCTTTCTTTCTTTCTTCTTTTTTACCCATGCATGTATTGTACATACTGGTACTGTTACTAATTATTTAATAATTTATGTTACCAGTTATGATATTTTTCCACACACACAACCACAACTATTTGTAACACTTTACAATAAAATCTCATTTGTTAACATTAGTTAAAACATTAACAATGAGCAATATATTTCTTACAGCATTTACAGCAATTGTTCATTGATGTCACTGGTGTTAAAGTGCATTAACTAATGTTAACAGATGCAACTTTGATTGTTTTAGTAAATTTTTAATTAACTTGAATTAACAATGAACAATGCTTCTACAGCATTTTTAACCTTAATGTTAACAATGTTGTTAATAAAAAAGCCTCTAAGTACGTCTGATGTTTTTCTTTAAAATTAGCATTTCCTTCTGGCTGCTATGTACAGGTTTCTACGGCACAGCAGAGAATGTTTATCTTCCCGGGTACGGCTTGGCATGGGCACAGGCTCCCTTTGGATATGCGCTCAGCCTTGTTTTGGGTATGTTGCGTGTGTATGCAGCTTTGATAGAAACATATTTTCAATGTTAAAGTTAGCAGAACTAGAAGCAAGTATCTGTCAAACATATAATTTCTATGAATTGATTCATGTCAAGGTGGCCTTTTCTTTGCTAAACCCATGCGCTCCCGGGGTTACGTCACCATGCTTGACCCCTTCCAGCAACTGTATGGAAAAAGGATGGGTGGTCTGCTGTTCATCCCTGCACTAATGGGGGAAATGTTCTGGTCAGCCGCCATCTTATCTGCCCTTGGTAAGAAAAGAGAGGGAACTGATATCCTAGAAAGACACAATCAGTACAACACAATTTGCAAGCGCTTTCATTATTGTATTAGGACATATGCTATAAATATTTCAGTAAAGCTTTATTTAAATATACTTTGTTTGCATCACAGGGGCCACACTGAGTGTGATCATTGACATCGACATCAATATGTCTGTGATTATTTCGGCTCTTATTGCCATTTTCTACACGCTGGTGGGAGGACTGTATTCAGTGGCCTACACTGATGTTGTCCAGCTCTTCTGCATTTTTTTAGGACTGGTAAGGCTTCACAGAACCACAAAATGAAGTCATCGAATGTGTCATTTCCCCCTTAGTTCATGTCTGCATGTCTTCAGCAGCACGTAACACTCTGTGATTTATCAAAGTGGCTGTTTGCTGTGCAGTTTTGACAGTAACGGCTCATCAACCACCCTTTAAAGATACAAGCAATAGGAATAAAGAAGTGAAAGAAGAAATCATTTTTTGAGTTATAATGGCCTTTAATTAATTATTTTTATGGTAACACTTTATTTTAAAGTGTCTTAATATTATAATAACAATAAATTATGCACAATTACATGCAAGTAACCCTAAGCCAAACCCTAATCCTAACCCTGACCATATAGTATGTACATGTAGTTAATTAATATTACTCAGTACTTAAATGTCAAATTTCACTGTAACTGGGACACCTTAAAATAAAGTGTAACCTTTTTTTTTATTTATTATTACATTATTCAATATAATAAATTATTAATAAAATTAATAATATAACATTATTAATTGAACAGAATTCATACGGAAATTAAAAAAAATATATATATTTTTTGAAAAATAAAAATAATACTAATTGCACAATATTGAAAAATGTTTATCTATTTGGCTAGTTTTCACTAGTACCTGCTATAAATTGAGTATTACAATGTTATATATGGTCTATTACATGGTAATAGAGGAATATGTTCTCTTTATAGTGGGTGAGCGTCCCTTTTGCGCTCTCAAACCCAGCTGTGTCTGACATCGGAGTGACAGCAGTGAAGCAGCTCCATGCTAATCAGACCGCATGGCTTGGGAAGATAGAAAGCCTTGACAAATGGATGTGGGCTGACAACTTCTGCCTTCTGGTGAGTGGACAACCCACTGTAGCATGATGGGATGGAGACACAATGATTTTGCCAATGGAGAATTGTTGATTCTGAAGGGCCAAACCTAATTTCTTACTTTAGTGAACAATGCAATCCTTCGTGGGGAGGAAAACTAAATAAGACCTGAGGGTGAATAAAGTGTAATACTGGTCTAGTCGGGTCACTCTCCTCCTGTAGGTTGCCATATTTAGATTAGCTTTAATGTTTGTAATGTTATAATCTACTCTTGATGTTATATGTCTGTATCATGCTGTCTGGTTTCTGTTTCTAGATGCTGGGGGGGATTCCCTGGCAGGTATATTTTCAAAGGGTTCTTTCTGCCTCTTCAGCTACCTATGCTCAAGTCCTCTCCTTCCTGGCTGCCTTTGGTTGTATCATTATGGCTATTCCCTCCATCCTGATCGGAGCCATAGGGGCTTCCACAGGTAAGACAAACCTCTGTTGGAAACTTGACTTTTTTTTTTTAAACATGTAGCAAATCTGAATAACACTTACATGTTACATGTTATAATAATAATAGTAAATAATGCCTAATTACATGAAACTAACCCTTGACCAAACACTAACCCTATAGTAAGTCCATGTTGTTAACTAATATTAATTAGGACTTAAATATACACAATAACATGGTAACAATGACACTGTAAAATAAAGTGTAACCCAAATCTGTAATATTAAAGTCATCATGAAAAATCTTTTTTTTTTTTCATGGAGTATTGCAGCGTTTATTATAAATAATTTATCTGTGCACATTTGTTTTGTTTTTTTAAATATGGCCTTGTAATCTTCAATCAACATTAACTTCCCTTCCCCCTCACAACAATCTGTTTTCTGATGACGTCTGCACTGGCACGAGGACAGGACAATAATTCCTCCTCTCTTATACAGTGTTATTTTAGTATCATTGATGTACTATTATAGTTTTTTTCTAATATATTGAATTAGCTTTGATTTTTGATTTTCTGTTTTCATTTACATTGTATTTATTACTAGTTTTTAATGTCTATATAGTTTTTATAAATGTTGACTTCAGTTTTAGTTATTTTACATCAGCTTAAACTAAATGAAAATGAGAAGTGTTTAAATGAATTTTTTTTCTTTTTTATATTATTTTGTTTCAGTTAAAATTGAAATACAATTGAAATTGGAATAAACCACAAATGTTTTTGATGGTTTTAGTTTAGTTAACTATAATAGCCCTGTTCTTGCAAATTATAATCTACATAAGATCGCAGCAATTAGCAAATGACAATGATCCAATTAATTCCAATCAGATCCAAAATCAAGTCCTGCATTGTTTTATTTTTGTTTTGTTTTTTGCATTCGAGGATAACAATAGGTAATTGCAACTTCATTTCTTGCAGACTTTACAAGATCAGTTAATTTATAGCATATATGCGTTTCAATAAAGAAAAAGAAGTTGCTAACAAAGTCACCCAAGCAGTCTAATTACCGTAGTCTGATTTATAGGCTGTTTCCACTTGCTGATCATTAGATCTGTTTGAGTGCAAAAAAAGGAAAGGCTCACCATTTTAGGAATAAAACTTCTTAATATGGCTTACAAAAGTGATCTTAATTATACACTAATTATGTTGTATTTCCCCCTCATACCACATACCCTCACCCTGAAAAATTATTCACAGCTCAGCCAAATTAAAAATGTGCATCAAAGCATGCTGATCATTAGATCTGTTTGAGTGCAAAAAAAGGAAAGGCTCACCATTTTAGGAATAAAACTTCTTAATATGGCTTACAAAAGTGTTCTTAATTATACACTAATTATGTTGTATTTCCCCCTCATACCACATACCCTCACCCTGAATAATTATTCACAGCTCAGCCAAATTAAAAATGTGCATCAAAGCATTTTTCATATTGTTTCCTGTATACCACATTTCCTTGTCCTAAAGCCTAACACCATTTTCCCTTCGAGAGTGTACTGCATTTAGTATATACTGACAGTAATTCTAATTATGTAATCACTTATTTCTGATTATTGGGGAACAGTCTGATTTGCTCTGGTGTGTTGTGGGAGGTGTTCTCCTCCAGGCTGTATCAGCCCCGGGTGGAAACCATGTTCCTTTCAGATCACTAAAGAAATGAGTAAATAACAACAGCTGGTCTCCCTCGTACATTATTAACAGATTATCCGTTTAACGATGTGAACCCTGTAAATATTACATCTGAGGGAGGCACACAGCACCTAGATTTAATCAACAGACTTTCAGCATCAAAGACACAGCCAGTCACTTATTACTTTACTTATTGGGAATAACAGTCTAATCAAGCAAGGCTTGTTGCTTTTGGATTGTGAGTAAAACGAATTTGAAATTGAATGTTTCATTTAACATGTATTTGACTCATGTATGATGCAAAAAATAATTATTTATGCTGCTGGTTATTACACAGTATATAGTAAGTGTGTTCAACTCCACAGATTGGAACCAGACATCCTATGGGCCAATTCCTCCCATGCAGAGGGACCAGTCTGACATGATCCTACCGATCGTGCTACAGCACCTGTGCCCGGCCTATATCTCCTTTTTTGGTCTGGGGGCAGTTTCTGCCGCAGTGATGTCATCCGCTGACTCATCCATCTTGTCGGCCAGCTCCATGTTCGCTAGGAACATCTACCAGCTCGCTTTCCGACAATCGGTGAGAGCCAGACTAAATAATTAAAAAAAATTTTTTTAAATGACTCAATATTTTTTGTCTTGTATTCCAGTACAAACATTCTCGAATCAAAATGCATTTACTTATGAAGAAGCTAAATGTTTATTTTTCTTACCCCACTGGTGCATAGTTGTTCTTGTTTTAATAAAGGCACTTTTTATAATTGTTTTTAGAAAATAAGAATTTTCTTTTTACAAGTAAATTTATCTTCACTGTAGGAAAATCTGTAAAGGAATTTTCTGCATTGATTTTGCAGGTGTTTTACCTGTATTGTATTACTTGTATTGTTGCATTGTGTTGTGTTTTAGGTTAAAGGCTATAATATATCTCTGTAAATTAACAGACAGTGTTCTGGCTGAAAATTACCAGTACATTTTCCATTTTTCGATGGATTTTTGTCTTAAGGTGCAGTCATATTTCAGCAAAATTTTGTGGGCAAAAAAGTCCATTGTCAATAACATACCGATATATGAAGCACAGCACAGACAGCGGTCACTTTCAAATCAAGCAGCTTTCTGTTGGACAGCAGAGAGGATTTGCATAGGTAACTTTAACGAAAATCTGAGTGGGGAACTTTTTTACCTTCAAGAGATACTCCTAAATGCATGGATTCCTGTTGAAATTACTACAATTACAAAAATGTTGACAAGTAGCATTGGTTTAAGAATGTTTATATAGTTGTACTGGAAAACGTGACAAAAATACTAAGCAAGGAAACCTTTCTCTTTCTTTTGTAAAACAACTATAAAATTTAAAAATGCATACTAATTTATGGATAAAGTAATTCAAGGGATAGTTCACCCAATAATAACAATAATCACCATTTACTTACACAAATGATATTCAAGAACTTTATGACTTTCATTCTTCTGGGCAACACAAAAGAAGATATTTCGCAGAATGTCTCAGCTGTTGTTGTCCATGTAAAGAAAGTCAATGGAATCACTGACAACATCACTGACCTTTATTGAATGAAAAAAGTGGGTGTCAATTATTAAAAGCCTGCATATTAATCGACTTCTCGAATTCTTAGTTTTATCATATCTTGTATCATTTTATTATCTCTCTAATTCTCATCTCATCTTTGTACTGATTTCAAGGCTTCCGACCGTGAGATCGTGTGGGTCATGCGGATCACTATTTTTGTGTTCGGGGCTCTAGCGACGGCCATGGCTCTCCTGACTGGGACCGTCTATGGTTTATGGTACCTGAGCTCTGATCTGGTCTACGTCATCATCTTCCCCCAACTCATATGTGTTCTTTTCATCCGTGCCACGAACACCTACGGCTCGGTGGCTGGATACATCTTTGGATTGATCCTGCGAGTTGGTGGAGGGGAACCATATCTCAAACTGCCTCCGTTCATCTACTACCCTGGATGGACCATTGAGGAGAAGGTCCATCATGTGACCAAGGAGGTGGAATACCTGGTGTTGCAGAGGTTTCCCTTTAAGACTGCTTCCATGCTGGCTTCGTTCCTAAGCAATGTGGCTTTCTCATACCTGTTCAAGTACCTGTTTGAGAGTGGCACTTTGTCGGCTAAATATGATTTCTTGGATGCAGTGGTGGCCAAGCACAGTGCCGAAATAATGGACAAGACCACTCTGGTGAACAAGAACATCATTGGGCTGAATGAAATGGCCCCGGTCAAGCCAAGACTTAGTGTTACTTTAGCTGCTACCTTCACCAGGAAGGAAACCCTGACCGAAGAGGAGGACTCCAGCCCGGAGTCACCGAGTCATGAGAATGAGTAGAGACCCTATGTTCAATCTTAAGAAGACTCTCTATTGGTTCCATAATGTGAAGTACAAGGCTTCACCCAATAAGTAAATAAATATCAGATTTTAATTATATACTTAATTCATTCCACACTCCTTCTCTGGAATTTCCATCACTTCTTTCAAGATGGGCATGGGACAGCAACTGAAACTCAATGAAAATGGCAAAGAGAGAAGAAAGCAGCAGTGATTCGAGTGGTTTGAGTAATATTAGGAAAAAACTGACTTGATGGTGTTAATTACCCTGAGAAGCTCTTCGACTCCTGTCGGTATGTACAAACCCTGAGTGACTCTCCTTTCCCTTCTAAAGAAAATGTTGAGATACTGTGATAATCCTTGGGAAATAATCATATTAAAAGGTTAGTTCACTCAAAGATGTTCTGTCATCATTTGCTCAACCTGGATGACTTCATTTCTTCTGTAGAACATAGAACAAAATGTCTCTTTTTTCATCCATGCAGTCAAAGTCAATAGACTTCAGTGTTCTTTTGGACCTTATTGAATTTCATTGCATTGACAAAAAAAAGCAGTTGAAACATTCTTCAAGTTATGAATGATGACAGAATGTCCATTTCTTTGTGAATTATCCGTTTAATTTCCTAAACCTGGACAAAGATCAGTCCAGATTTGAAAAAGAAAACATAACACAGTGATTATAATCTATCCAATTATAGCTATATATTAATAAATAATAGGTGTAAGTTCATGTGTCATGCCATTACTTACGTCAAACTCCCATGATAGATATTAGTGCAGATTATCCTATTATCCTATTTGATCATAAAAATCAAATGTAGCTAAACGGTTATAAGCTGTTTCATAAATATGTAATTATATAACAAGTGATGTGCTTCCCATCTACAAACTACCTTTAACAACTGTGGCATAAGTGCACATGTGGCAAATGTCTTTTTCATGTTCATAGTGCAATATTAAGAAGGAAAACAAAGAACATGGAAAATATACAGTATATAATCTTGTAATCGCCTTAACTAGCTACATTGATTAGATGGGGGTGATTGGACATTATGCAAACCTGGTTCGTCACTTTGTTGTACTTGAAAATGAATGTTGCTGAAAAATGATTTACCAGATGTAACAACCTCCGGGGTCTGTGCTGTGTTATTTTTTGTGATTTGCAACGTCATACGTATGTTAAAAGAAGTCATTGTACCTGGTTCCAGGATGAGCCAGCTGCTGTGTTATTTTGTTGGCTTTAGCGATAAAGAACTTTGTGTGATGTGTGTATTTATATTCCAATGAATATAACTGTCTAGTATTCCACTAAAATGTAAAGTGTCACTTTACCGTTCTGTATATATATACATATATATTTGAATGAGTTGGAGCCAGCTACACAAATCTATATTTATTTATTAATTGTGGCCTACAGATTAAACATAGGATTATAAATTTTATTGTTAAGACTTTCATAGTTGTGTATTATTCGAAAATAATACTTTCCACAAAAACTGTAAGCAGTTAAGTGTTTTGTTTAAATTCATAAAACTTGACAAAGTGTGTTTGTTGATCATTTTTGTCCTCATTTCTGATAGCAAACACATTTTCTAAGTCTTACGCCACTTCGCAACCCGAAACGATCTGCGGACTGCTGTAGGGCCAGTTCCGAAAAAGCGCATGTCTGAAAACGTGACAATGTATGACGTTAACTCTCTTCAACTTCCAATGTCACAGTTGAGAGACGGCACTCTAAAAATAGCCAGTACGTTATTTGCGTTAAGTGCTCTGCTGGTCTCAGTGGGGCGGGGCAGGGGTAGTTGGGTGAAAAAGGCGGAGGGAAGTGAAGATGGGGGTTTGGCCAGGCATCTTATGCGTCTTTTCATAGATTGCGTCAATGTCTTGGGGGTGGGCGATGACGCTGTTCTTGCCCCACCCAACCATGTCCCGAGCTTGTCCTCCATTTTGTCCTTGATGTCCAAAATGTAATCCCATTACATCGTTTGCGGCTGGATATGCCAGAGATCCCATTCACAAAAGAACAGCACTTGTGGTGATTAATAATCACCGCAATGGGGCGGTACTCTTAGCTTTGCCAAAAGTCAAGCCATTTTTATCCTTCCAACTGAGGCGTCGTCTGCGGCCATCTAAGGTGTCTGGAAAAACCTCAACGACAATTTACTCGCCAAAGGGTACAGTTTGAACACCTTTCATGGTTAGCAATTTAGTCGTCGATGCTCGTTCGAGATATTCGTTTTAGCTTCCTTCATATGTGAGCAGTCTCTGGTTTTCTTGGTGAGCACGTCTCTGCTCACAAATCAGTAATGAAATGCTTGAGGTTCAAGAATCTCAGCTGAAATATGGTGCATCTAATTGAATCAGCCTAAGTGAGGGACATTTGTCCTCTCTCATGGTTCAATCGATCAAATCTCCCACAACAACGGTTAGGAGCGCAGCCTATGATGGAAGCTAGCAGGCAGCATTCATCACGCCCGTCATTATTTATTTGAACAATTTCCTTTAGTGTAAATCAGTAACGGATACAGATCATGTAGTCTTTTATTAGTACTACTTAAATGAATGAGAAAACAACCTCAAAACACAAAGCTTCAAAAAACCCAACTGCACCAGTGAGAATTTCCTTTTATTTCTATCCTTCGTTAAGTGGCTACATGGTCCTCAGTGTGCTGTCGAAGACAATCTTTGGACATGCCTCCTCTGCAGCCTCAGCTGTACTTCTCTTAATGGCAGAGTCTTCGTGTATCTGTCAAGAAATCATCTGCCTATTGAAGGAGGCAGGTGTAATTCGATTGGCTTTCATTAAACTTGAGGGAATAATTGGGCATGCTGGGAAATATAGTTTTGGGCTTTACCAGAAGACAGCAGGTATAATGTAATGAGAAAGATAAGAGTCTACAGACGAGGTAAAATATTAGCAAAGAATTGCTTACTTTTTGACTTTCCTAAACATTTTTTTTTGTACTAAAGGAAAATGTACTATATTTTGTATTTAAGTACAAATAAAAGATTTGGCCTTTTTTAAACTGTCATTATTACATGTTACATAGTAATAAGGGTAAATTATGCATAATTACTAGCCACTAACCCTAAACCAAACCCTATAGCCGGTATATGTTATTAATTAATATTACTAATTTGTGTAATTATATTGTAACAAGTACAACTTACAGTAAAATGTAACCAAAGAATTGTGTGTCTAAGTGACAATAAAAAGCAAAAAAAAAAAACTTATTGGCCATTTGCATCATAAATGTGTTTCTTGGTACCAACTTTTGAAAAATCAGAAAATTTACGTCAGGACGTAAATCAATGAAAAGTGTTATGAACACCTGTTATGATCAAGTTTCACTGATGAAATGTGATGTTTCATCAATGAAACATGATTGTGTATATAAAAATATACCACTGAAAAATTAACCATAAATATTAATTTTTGACTTTGGAGAGCAACTTGTTGAGAATCTTTGAAAATAATTTGTAATTGGACATAAAGCAGCCCTATGACTGTTTGTAGAGTAACATCTCCTCACAATATTTACTCCCTGAAGATCTGGAATGTCATCATAACACGTTTTGCGCGGGTGCGTCCTATTCCCGCAGACCAAACATCCTTCTTTTTCCCACTCGCTCCTGTTCGTTTCCGACAGCAAAGTCATCTGCGGTGACAAGGAACCCTTTTTTTTTTTTTATATGGGGCGACTAGAACAAGCGACCCTGAGGACACATCAGTATCAGACATGGCTGTCAGCAATAGAAGCATCTGATCTGTGTTCTGCTGGCCGTATACTGCATAATTTAAAAAGGGGGCTAGATTTTGCAAGTGGGTTTGCTCTTGGAAAGTCGATTTCTATCATTAGCTTTCCAATAGTCTTGGTCACTTAGCTGGTGCATTCAGATCAATTCAAACAGGTTGATGTCCCTAAAAAGCTAGTATATGTGATTGTTTTGAAAGATCAATATCTGAAAGAACAGCTATGAATTTAAAGGACCCAGAGGAGGAATACAGACATTAAAATATATTACTCCTCAGGGATCACTTTATTGACTTATACTTCCCCTCTCTTCCTCCATGTCTCGCTGTCTCTCAAATCTCTGCCGACCAAACTGTTGTATGATCAAAATCTGTCACAACCTCTTCCACTGTCATCCTGATGACGCAGTTTCTAAACTTTTCTCCACAATCCTCCCAGCTGACAATCACATGGGACTGTCATACATGGCTTGTGTTACATAAAACACCAACAGTGAAGACACAGCCACTCTTTCACAAACCACAAACCCTGAGGCAACGTCCCAAAACTCTTTATTTCCACTGTCAGCCACATTCTTACAATGTCTGTTCAAAGTGTTACTGGCACAACACTGAAAATGTATTTCTGAAGAAATCTCTTAATGTGGAAAAACATGGTTATTGTAAAATTAAAACAGGATATTAAAACAACAAAATAATATGTAATATTGGACACTACAGCATTGGACACTACTGATTTTCAGTATATGGACAACAATAATAATAAGGGGCAAGCACAACAGAGGTATGAAGAGCTAAGGAACTGTGTTTAATTAGTAAAGACCGGGAGTTGTCCTGCAGACTCATGCTGCCTTCACATGCTATCGGAAACTTCCTACTTCGTGGAGATTCGTGGAGTTTCTTTGTTTTTGACCACACGACAGTGATGTAAGTGTGCAATTTACTTATTTGTTTGCTTTTGAGTTTTTTTTAATAGTCATTGAGGTAATTTAGGCAGAATATAATTAATTTCAGTTTATTTGTGTTTACATTTTAATCATATTTAAGTGCATAAAGTGATGATAACCCAAATTTTTATGATGCAGCAGATTCCTTCCATCCCTGACGTAAAAGTATATTATCTCATCTCTTTCTTTTACTCTCAGCCAGCAGGGCGACTCAGGACTATTTATGTGTTCCTTAAGTGATGGCCTCTATAATGTAATTGCTGGACATCTAATTGAAAAATGGAGGCAGCCAAAGAGAGAGAAGAGGGCGGAGAGGAGGGAGGGAAAACAAAGAAAGAAAGGGGGATGAAGGGATAGAGGGATAAGGGAGAGAGGGACTAATTTAGAAAGATAGAAAGAGAGAGCAA